GAAGAGGGGGATGAGTACATGCGTCTCAAGGCAAAAAGGAGTGCATATAGTTCTGTAGTAAGGACACTAGATTCAGGAGGGAGGGTGTATTTGAAAGTGCAGTTTGGGGATGTTACTGCGAATCCAGCTCCTGAGATGGATTTGGAACCGTCAGTGTAAACATGAATGCTGGAGGAATGAATGGAGACATGGTCATGGAAATGAGTGAGGATAGAGGGGGTATATAGAGAGAAACATATTGGGAGGAAGGAGTGCATTCTAAAGGTTGAATAATAACCTGGGTGGTTGGTTCAGAATGGATAGACTTCTCAGTAAACGTCGAGATGATATTAGTATCAGTGGTTGGAGCCGTGGTCAAAGGAGGTGCAGGGGTTGGAGAACCACCAAAATCGATTTCAGATAAGCTAATTGATGAAGTGGCAAGCCTTAATGCCCCTATTAAGGGCAAAGAATCTTCATTATTGGCCATGGTGAGCCTGGATAAAAAGGGGAAAAGAAACGGTCTACCCCTCAGGGCCCCCATAAGGGGTAAGGGCTAAGTGATTAACCAAGGGAATACCGTCCCCATGGCTCCTGGAGGCCGTTCGTGACTGACACAAAGCCAGCCTTCATTTCTCCCACACGGCTCTCACACCTTAGGAATGGGACTGAGGGGGCGAAGATGATAAGACGACGAAAGGAGAAGAAAAGACCAAGCAAAATTAGTTGAGTCGAGGCCCGAAGCCCAACGTAGGGGCAATCCCTAGGAGTAAAGTCTCCGTCTCCTAAGGCCTCCACGACGACGTGCAAGGTATTCGCGTCTGTCTCCGTCGCGCATCCCCCGCCCAAAAATGAACATGGGGGATTATTACTAGTATCATAATCATCATAACTATTATTATTGCTTCATCATCATCATCATCTTCATCCTCATCGTAGCTATTTTCCTAGTTAATCACAACTTTCACTGTCTTTTCTCACCTCATTTTCATTATCAGCACAAAACGTGCGTTTATTTTACAATTATTCTACTTCTACTTATTAATTAAACAATCAGACATCAAATAAAATAAAAGACTAGCAAACAGGAAGAGGAAGAGGAAGAAGAGAAGGAGGTGAAGGTGTAGATGCAAAGAAGACGAACGTGGAAGAGGGAGCGACGGATGAAAAGACGGAGGAGACGAAAGAGGAGGTGAAGGAGGCAAATGAAGAGGAATGGAAACAGATAGAGAAGGAGAACAGGCGGATGGGGGAAGAGAAGACGGAGATGGAGAAAGAAGAAAGAAAAGGGAAAGAACAAGACGAAAAAAAACGAACTGGAAAAAAGTCATTCATTTCGGAGGAGAAATGGAAGAAGGAAGAATACGAGAAAAAGAAAAAAAATAAAGGAAAAGAAATGAAACAAAAGAATAAGAAAATTCCAGATGGAATGTACAAAATCTCATAACTTACGCACACAACTCTTAGTCATTCACTCTTTTGAGACCTTAATAATTTTTTTCTATTTAATTTCTTCCAACTCAAAGCGACTTGACTCACCCCCCCTCACCTCCCCCTGGTATTTCCCCAAATGCAACACCTTTAATACCCTTCATACTTTCTCCCCCAGACGGTGTTACATTTCCATTTTCCTTTGTCTCTTTCCTTTTAAAATTGGGATATTTTCAACTTTGTTCAAACCATTTGATGCATTTGATGATAAACCCCATACTACTGTTTGGGATTTAACAGTAATTGTAACTTTTACATAATTAACCTCATTACAAATAATATTTCAGTGCACAATAAACGTTTACTTTGGGTTACATTCATTACAGTTTTCGTCGCAAGATTTACTCAAAATAGCTTCTTTTAGAACAAGAAGCTTGAAGACAAACCTTCAAGAATCCCTCACAGATATTCTATAAACGTATGAATACACAAATAATCGAACACATTTTTTTTATATAAAGTTGTCAAAATTGTGGTAATTGATCACTTTTATTTCAGTCAATAAATGTCAAATAACAACGTTCATCACTATCTTTAATTACTACTATAACATTAATGAAAACTATATATCTATATCGATATCTATTTCATATTTATATTTATTTACACCTTTTTCATCTACCTACAACCTAGCAGGAGCTGACAATAAAAGCATTATTTTCATAATTGCAATTTTCAATCTAACAATAGAACTCATCTAAAACTCAAGCTTAATCAGCCGATGCAATCGACTTACTATTTTTTTTTCTTGACCAGTAAAGAAAGAAAGAGAGAAAGTGAAAGGCAGAGAGAGAGAGAGAGAGAGAGAGAGAGAGAGAGAGAGAGAGAGAGAGAGAGAGAGAGAGAGAGAGAGAGAGAGAGAGAGAGAGAGAGAGAGAGAGAGAGAGAGAGAAAGTGAAAGTGAGAGAGAGAAAGAGAAAGTGAAAGTGAAAGAGAGAGAGAAAGTGAAAGTGAAAGAGAGAGAGAGAGACAAAGTGAAAGAGAGAGAAAGTGAAAGAGAAAGAGAGAGAGTGGAAGTGAAAGTGAAAGAGAGAGAGAGAGAAAGTGAAAGAGAGAGAAAAGGAGGAAAGAAATAAGGAGAAGCAGAAAGAGCAAGAAAGAAAGAAGGGGGGCCGGAGAGGGAGAGGATGAGGAAGAGGAATAGGAAGAGACACAATTTGAAATAAACTAAAGCCAACGATAAAGATAGAAACAAGAGACAAAGACGGAGAGATAGAGCTAAAGATGAATTCAAAGAGAAACGGAGACACAAAGACAGAGACGTAAAAGCAGAGAGGAGAAAGCCCGCGAGACAGACGGGCCAGCTAAGAAACGGAAGTCAAGAATCGTGGCATTGCTTTAGGAAACAGCGTCCTGTCAGTTATCACTCTCATCTACCCTGAAGCTTGAAGCAATAGGCTGTACTCTCGGCTTGGTTTTCCCGCCATTTCTACTCTACGTCATTTGCGATAAGTCCAACAAAGAGGGGGAAAATCAAAACAAAAATTAAATGCCATTTCCAGGTACATCCAGAATCATTGTATTATAGTCATGACCTTGTGTATATATGGCTGGGAGAATATGGATGTAAACAATACCAGAAAAAAATGATGCCGAAAAAATACGATATATAAATAAAAAAAGGCAATAATTCACCGGGTTCCTTCAAATCGGCTTCCTTTCAACTGCACTCTCTCTCTCTCGGCCTCACAATGCAGTCGAGGATAGTGATCACGGAACGACGAGTCTACAGCTGCACTGAACGTCGCTGCACCGACTTCCACAGTCTGGCCGGAGCGGAGTAAACACACGGGCTCGAAACTGCTTCCACGCGCAGCTGATTACTTCCTGGCTGCCTTGGCCGAGTTTTTCGAGAGGGAAGGCAGTGTGTTGTTGAGGTTGTTGTTGTTTTTGGAGGTTCGTTCAGATATGATTACGTGGAACGGATGCCTTTATTGCATTATTGTTCCCCTTCGTTGTGGATGCAAGGCTTTATTCTGCGTTATTTTTGCTCTTACATTGGCCCTAATTCCTACCTATTTACCCTCCCTCCTCTACACAAGAAATGATTACGTGCATGTATTGTATGTATTTGTGTGCGCGTGTGCGCGCGCGTGAGTGTGTGTGTGTGTGTGTGTGTGTGTGTGTGTGTGTGTGTGTTGTGTGTGTGTGTGTGTGTGTGTGTGTGTGTGTGTGTGTGTGGTGTGTGTGTGTGTGTGTGTGTGCGCGCGCGCGCGTTTTTTTTTTTTTTTTTTTTTTTTTTTTGACATCCAATTCTGTGTCAAATGTTTACATTGTTGTATTTCTGTACTTTCGCACTGGAATGGCGCAATTTTTCACGGGGGAGAAACCTGCTGGATCTGCCATTGTATGTAGGGGTGCGGGAGTATCTGTGCCTGTGAGTGTAGGGGTGGTTGTAGTTGTGGTTGTGGGTATGGGTATGTTAGTGTGTAAGTCATCCTTTCCATCAAGTTCTGAAAACTTGGATAATTGATTTAGACATCAAAACCTTAGCCAAAAAAAAAAAAGTCCTGATATCTACTAAACACACTGCTCCTCCATCTAGCTCGAAATAACTCCTTTTAACTTTCTTCGAGTCATGATTTGTTTTTAAATGCGTCTGCCCTACTATTCGCACGCATGATTCCGGTCATATTATTCGCACAGTCGCAGTTGAACGTCCCGTATGTGAAATGACTGAAGCTTCGACAATTAGAATCATCACCTCGGTTTTTAGTTTCCTCTGGGATATCTGAAACGTGCTTCGAAAAATGTTTCATAACAGCTGTCGTGGCATTCTGTACCTCTATTTGACTCTGGCAGATGATTTTGAATATATAGTTTTTTTTTTTTTTTTTTTTACTTTAAATAGTCGTTTACACTTAGGAAAACTGATTAACACTCGAGTTTTAACCAGTATAGTGTCTGAAGGACGTTAGATTAGCATTGCACTTTCTCCGTTTTGAGAAACCACCAAAGTGTTGTTTTAATGTTTTAAGAAACGGGAATATTAGTCAGTTCTACATCGAACTTGTTTGTTTATGTCTGGTAAAGAAAATGGGGAATGGGAGCATGTAATCACAGAGAGCATTACAGTTCAAAGTTTCCCCAAATGTTCTAGCTTTCTCGGAGTTCAATTGTCACAAGTAAAAGTTCCTCAGGAAGGGTATGAACAAAAATGAAGTTTGATTTTTTCCTTCTCTCCCTGGTTTCACTTTCTGTTCAGTGCTTTGTATCCGTAGTGAAGGGAATGGAGAGAGGTTACTGTACCCCCATTCTCTCTCTCTCCTCTCTTCTCTCTCTCTCTCTCTCTCTCTCTCTCTCTCTCTCTCTCTCTCTCTCTCTCTCTCTCTCTCTCTCTCTCTCTCTACCTACCTACTTATATTTCTAAATATATACCATTCCATCTATCTGCTTACCTACCCACTTTCAATATATATATATATATATATATATATATATATATATATATATTATATATATATATATATATACATATATATATATATATATTATATATATATATATATATATATATACATATATTCTCTATATCTGCTTACCCCCCATCCCCACACACACGCACATACATTCGTATGTCTGTGTGGCATGTACGTGATAATGTGTGTGTGTGTGTGTAAGAGTAAGTATATGACGATGTATGCGTATGTGTAAGTGCATTTATACATGTAAGTGCACGTGCTAGTAGACATGCACTTGTATTGCGTGTGAACGTGTATGTGGACGTGCGCGAGAGCAGGCGTATGTGTGTTTTCATGGACATGAGTTTGTTTATGAATGAATGAATAATGGCAACCACACACCCCCATTTCCCGCACTATCACAAATTTTTGTGACTCGTCTTTTCCTTCCCTTTTCCTCTTCATAAGGATTTCCGTTTTTCTTCCTTTCCCTTTAACCATTTTGTCTCTTCTCCATTCCCTTGACCTCGGGGTCATGAATGCGGTCACTTCTTCGTTTCATGACAGGAGGGAACAAATAAAAACTTATTCAGATCATGAGTAATGTCTCGTCCCACTAATCTGTGCAGTGCTTGGAAACCGCACAACTAAGTGGATTGTATCAGTAATTACTATCCGCATCTGGTTTGTTGTTGCTACTATCCGGCGTCTCCTCGAAGCCACCACGACGGTCCCGCTGGCCGACACCCGCCCCGCGAGGTGAGGGTCACTTGTCGTCGTCGTCGTCGTCTTCTGCCGTGGCGCCCTCGGGATCGCGGGCTCAGCCGTCGCCCGTGTCGGCCTCCTTCACGGGCAGCGGCAGGTGGGCCACGAGGGCGTTGGAGCCCTGCAGCCGCGGGTCGGTCATCCACGCCGGCTGCTGCGCCCCGGGGTGATGCGCGTGAGGGTGCTCCACCCGCGAGAGGCTCCCCAGCGGGAACTGGTAGGCGTCGACGGGGCGGTGCAGCTGCTGCTCCACCCTGGCCAGGCCCTCGTGGCGGTGGTAGGCGTCCATCATGGGGTGCGGCAGCGGGTGGTGCTCCATGCGGGACAGGTTCTCCAGGTGCAGGTGGTAGTTGTCCACGGGCTGCTGCAGCGGCTGCTCCAGGCGGGCCACGCTGCCGTGATGCGGGTGGTAGGCGTTGACGGGCGGCGGCAGCGCCTGCTCGGGCCGTGACATGTGCTCCCGCACCTGGTAGTCGTCGCCGGGCTGCGCCACGGCCGGCTCCACCCGCGACAGGTCCTCCAGCTGCAGGCGGTACGCGTCCAGGTGGTCCTGCGACGGCTCCTCCTCCTTCGGCACGGTCTCCGGGATAGACTGGCGCCGCGCCCGCCGCGCCGCCGCCGCCGCCGCCACCGCCGCCCGGTGCGCCTTCAGCTCGTCGTCGCTCATCTTCTCCCTCTCGCGGCGCCGCAGCTCCCGCCGGGCCTGCGCGGCGGCCGCACGTCGCGCCCGCAGCTCCTCGTCAGACATCTTCTCCCGCTCCCTCCGCCGCGCCTCCCGCTGCGCTGCTGCGATAGCGGCCTTGTGTTCTCGCAGCTGTTCCTCCGTCATGTTCTCGCGGGCGCGCTTGCGCAACTCCCTCTGCGCCGCCGCCACCGCCGCGCGCCGTGCCTTCAGCTCCTCCTCGGTCATCTTCTCCCTGGCGCGGCGCCGCAGCTCGCGCTGTGCGGCCGCGATGGCCGCCTTGTGCTCCATCAGCTGCTCCTCCGTCATGCTCTCGCGCGCCCGCTTGCGCAGCTCGCGCTGAGCCGCCGCCACGGCCGCGCGCCGCTGCTTGAGCTCCTCCTCAGACATCCTCTCCTGCGCGCGGCGCCGCAGCTCCCTCTGCGCCGCCGCCACCGCCGCCCGGTGCTCCCTCAGCTCCTCCTCCGTCATGCGCTCCCTCGCGCGCCGCCTCAGCTCCCGCTGTGCCGCCGCCACCATGGCGCGGTGCGCCGCCAGTTCCTCCGGCGACATGTTCTCCCGCGCGCGGCGTCGCAGCTCCCTCTGGGCCGCCGCTGCCGCCGCCCGCCGCGCCCGGAGCTCCTCCTCGCTCATGCTCTCCTGCCGGAGCTGCCTCCGCATCCTGCACAGCGCCGCCATGAGCGCCCGCTGCGCGCGGATCTCCTCCTCCGTCATGTTCTCCCGCTTGAGGCGCCGGTACTCCTTCTTGATCTTGGCCGCCGCTTTCTGCCGCCGCTGCGCCGCCTCCTCGCTGGACAGGTGGCCGTCCGCCGCGCAGGGGTCGCGCGAGTAGGCGGCCGCACCGGACGGGGGGCACTCCTGGGGGAGAGGGGCACGTCAGTGGGGGCGGCAATATTAGGTGGGGGGGGGGATAACACATTAATAAATCTGCATCAGATGAGACCGCAGACGGTGCTCGCTGATCGCCGTGTTGTAAGCTGGAATAGGAGGACCAAGCGACAGGGTTACGCAAGACAGACCATACAATTGCCATATATTGCATCATCAAACCTATATTTTATATTATTTTCCCCCTACTGAACAGTCATTTCCCCTTCAATCAAATATTGCTACCAAAGCAACCGAAAATCATAACAAAAACAATAACAAAAAAAACAAGAAAACAAAAAAACACAAACCGAA